AGTACCACTCACGAAGCCGCTGTGGAGAGAGGGGCTCCCGCCGCGACAGGACACCCAGAGCACCTCCAGACTCAACACGCGCAGGCTCAGCACCTCCAGACACAGTACCCTCAGGCGCCACACCCCCAGTACGCCCAGTCTCAGCACCCCCAGACTCAGCACCCCCAGTCTCAGCACCCCCAGTCCCCGCACCCGCAGGGTCAGCACCCCTAGCAGCACCTGAGTCGACAGCTACCTCGACCGGCTCGGCAGGGTCTACCTGGGACACACCTGAGGGGGCAGGACCCTGGGGGGGGAGGGGGTCTACCGGAGGAGTACCTGGGGCAAGGAAGAGCGGCGGGGGAGGGGGAGAGGCAGTGCGGTAGGGAAAGAGACGGTAGTACGACACCGACTCGTCAAACGTGACGTCCTGAGAGGACAGAACACGACGCGAGGTGGGGTGGTAGAACTGCCACCTGGGTGCGTCAGGAGGGAAGCCAAGGAAGACACAGGGAACGGCACGGGAGGACAGCTTGTCCGCTGTAGTATCGCGGACAAAAGCTCGAGATCCCCAGACACGGAACGCGGACGCATCGCCAACCTTCCCCGTCCACCGCAGAGTAGGTGTGGTCTCCGGCAAGGAGACACGAGGCTGAAGGTTGATCTGATGCGCAGCGTACTGAACCGCGAACGGCCACAGAAAGTGGGGAGCAGCCGCATGGATCATGGACGTACGAGCGACATCCATGACCATGCCAATGCGGCGCTCAGCAATCCCATTTTGCTGCGGGGAGGCCGGAAGCGTGAACGTCTGGCGGATGCCCTCCAAACGACAGAAGGCTCTCAGAAGGTTGGAGGAAAACTCTCCGCCTCTGTCTGAGTGCAGACGCAAAACAGGAAGGTCGGAGCCGAAACTTTCACTAAGCTGGCGACGAGCACCGCGGATCCAGTCGATCAACACCTCAGTGACCTCACCCTTGCTGCGCAAGGGGAAGACTGTGGTGTAACGCGAGTAGTCGTCAACGACCAGCAGGAAGTAACGCTCGTGACCCTGTCCACGAACGCGGGCTGGGCCCCACACGTCCATGTGAAGAGTCTGCAGAGGGGCCTCAGTCGGAGGAAACGAGGAGGAGTGAGGAGCGGCGTGCTGCCGGCCCTCGACACAAGGAACACAGGTGGGGGCAGGCCCCGGAGGAAGGGGAGGGAGGGACCTGGGGAGACCAGAGACAAGGGCACGGGAGGCCATACCTCGAAGACGAGGCAGGGAGGGGTGACCAAGGCGGTGGTGCCAAAGGAGAGTCTCGTGCGCCAGAGGACGACACGAGCAGGGGGCAGACGCAGGACTAGACCTGGACGCGGCAGCAAACACCTGACTAGACGCAGCTACCTGACCAGACGCAGAGACCGGAGGAGGCGCAGTAGTCAGTGTGTACAGACTCGACCCTGGCCGACGGGTGAACGTGGCCAGGTGGCGGCCCGTTCGAGAGCAAGTGCAGTGGGTCACACGCTGACCTCCAGGGGTGAACTGGTCAATCCCCGCGTCCTGGAGGTCAGCTCCACTCACCAAGTTTGTAGAGAACGAGGGGAGGTGGAGTCCCGACAGCAAGCCCGACGGGGCCGCAGGACACGGTAAAAATGTAGAGGAGTGTGCAAGAACTGGGCCCCCTGAGGGGTCAGCAAGGGAGACCGCAACAGGCCGACTGAGCGGCGTGAGCGTGGTGCTGTCTCTAAAGAAAGAGCGCGAAGCACCAGAGTCAAGTGTGAAAGTGTGCAAGGACTCAGTAGGTGCAGTACCAGAGAGAGTAGACGTTCCAGCACCTGGAGCAGCAGACGCACTAGCACCTAGAGCAGCAGCCGCACTAGCACCTAGAGCAGCAGCCACAGTGCCCGGGTCGGGCGGGACATGCAGGTAACAGTCACCCTCAGTAATATCAGCAAGAGCATACATGGCAGCAAGGATAGCATCAAAATCTAGATCAAAGATAGACACATTCTTCAGAAACAGATCATGCCAACGAGGAAGATCAACAGCGTCAGGAAACTGGGTACGCCAAGCGTCAGTCAAGCGGCCAAAGCAGCGCTGCGTGGTGTGTGGGAGACCACACACCTCCCCACTACGAGTGCCGGTGCGAAGAACGTACGCGCAGGGACCTGCACCCCCAGACCTCCCACGTCCAGCGTACCACTCACGAAGCTGCTGAACAGACGGGGACTCACGGGTGCGCAGCTGCTGCGGACGCTGGCTGCCACCAAGGCCTCCACGCTGCGTGGCCGCACCGCGACCAGCACCACCTCCTCCGCTACCTCCACCACCGCCGCCGCCGCCGCCACCTCCTCCACCACCGCCGCCACGGACGCCACTGCCGCCACCTACGCCCCCACTCCCGGAACCACCCCCACCACCACCTCCACCTCCTCCACCTCCTCCACCGCTGCCTCCACCGCCCCCACCACCACCCCTGCTTCCCTTGCCCTTGCCAGTGTGGCGTCGCCCACTAGGGGCAGACGCAGCGCCGACCTCCTCAGTGCCAACGAGGTCGACAGCAGCAGCAGAGGCAACAAAGGGGAGAAGGGGGACAGGGGAACACCCCTCAAAGAAGGGGGTGCGACGGTCACCGCGAGAAGCACCAACAGCTAAGATACTCTTCTCAGTTGCAGCAAGGCGCTCCTCTAGCAAGTCGACAGTCAGCTCGGTGGGGCAAAGGGAGAGAAAGTGGTCCCTGACTGAAGAAAGAGAGTCAAGGAGGCGGGTGACTAGGTAGTAAAGGGTGATGTACATGGGGGGGGGGGGTTCTTGGCACAGAACTCAGTGGGAAGGGCAGCGCGGTAGCGGGCGTCACTAGTGCGAAGGTGAGCAACTAGGTCAGCGACAGTGGCAAAGGCAGCAAGGTCAGGGAAAAGGTACGGTAGCATGAGGCGGCTGAGGGCAGCAGTGGCAGGGGAGGAGTAGCGTGCAACTACAGCGTCGTACAGAGCCCTAGCACTCTTGTACTGACTAAAGTGCGCGCGCTCAGTAGACGGCAGGTGGTTGCGCACAGCAAGACGAGCAGCAGCATCGCGCGTGAGCCATTGCGAGCGAACAGTACTGTCAGCATCAGCAGTAGGGGCAGTAGAGGCGCCAGAAGTAAGATCGAACAGTGAGAGACCATCCTTGCTATCGCACTGTAGGAAAAGCTGCAGATCATCTAGCCAGACCTCAAAGTCAACAGCCCGACCCTCAGCATCAAAGGTAAGAACATTGAGACTAGCCATGACAGGAGAAGCAGCAGGCTAGCAGTAGCAGCAGTGGAACTCGGCTAAGCAGGCTAGGTAGGGCGGCGCAGCTCGGCAGGGCGGTGTGGCTCTTACCAGGGGAGAGGCTGGGGCAGGGCCGGGGTAGGGCCGGGGCAGTCCAAGAGCAGGGCCGGGGCAGGGCCGGGGCAGTTCAGGAGCAGGGCCGGGGCAGAGCCGGGGCAGTTCAGGAGCAGGGCCGGGGCAGGGCCAGGGCAGAGCCGGGCCAGGACCGGGGCAGTTCAGGGGCAGGGCCGGGGCAGGGCCGGGGCAGGGCCGGGGCAGTTCAGGAGCAGGGCCGGGGCAGTGCAGAAGCAGGGCCGGGGCAGGGCCGGGGCAGTTCAGGAGCAGGGCCGGGGCAGGGCCGGGGCAGTTCAGGAGCAGGGCCGGGGCAGGGCCAGGGCAGAGCCGGGCCAGGGCCGGGGCAGTTCAGGGGCAGGGCCGGGGCAGGGCCGGGGCAGGGCCGGGGCAGAGCCGGGGCAGTTCAGGAGCAGGGCCGGGGCAGTGCAGAAGCAGGGCCGGGGTAGTTCAGGGGCAGGGCCGGGGCAGAGCCGGGGCAGGGCCGGGGCAGGGCCTGGGCAGAGCCGGGCCAGGGCCGGGGCAGTTCAGGGGCAGGTCAGGAGCAGGGCCGGGGCAGTGCAGAAGCAGGGCCGGGGCAGTTCAGGAGCAGGGCCGGGGCAGCGTCGGGGAAGAGCTGCGACAGGGCCGCAGCAGGGCCGGCCGGGCCTGAAGGGGCCTCTAACGGGGCATGACTAGGCCGAACGGGGCCTATAACGGGGCCTGACGAGGCCTATAACGGGGCCGTACGGGGCCTATAACGGGGCCGTGCGGGGCCTATAACGGGGCCTGACGGGGCCTATAACGGGGCCTGACGGGCCTTACGGGGCCTGAAACGGGGCCAGATGGGGATTGACGGGGCCGAACGGGGCCTATAACGGGGCCTATAACGGGGCCTATAACGGGGCCTATAACGGGGCCGTACGGGGCCGATAACGGGGCCTTGCGGGGCCTATAACGGGGCCTGACGGGCCTTACGGGGCCTTAAACAGGGCCAAATGGGGCCTGACGGGGCCGTACTGGGCCTCTAACGGGGCCTGACGGGGCCGTACGGGGCCTCTAACGGGGCCTGTCGGGGCCTAACGGGGCCTTAAACGGGGCCGAACGGGGCCTGACGGGGCCTTACGGGGCCTTACGGGGCTAACGGGGCCTTACGGGGCCTTAATCCGCGCCCTAAACGGGGCCAAATGGGGCCTGACGGGGCCGTACGGGGCCTCTAACGGGGCCTGACGGGGCCGTACGGGGCCTCTAACGGGGCCTGTCGGGGCCTAACGGGGCCTTAAACGGGGCCGAACGGGGCCTGACGGGGCCTTACGGGGCCTTACGGGGCATAACGGGGCCTTACGGGGCCTTAATCCGCGCCCTAAACGGGGCCTAAAGGGGCCTTACGGGGCCTAACGAGGCCTTAAGGGGCCTTACGGGGCGGGCGCAGGCTCTAAGGGCGGGCGCAGGGGCCGTGACGGGCCTCGAAGGGAAGGTGCGAAGCGCGCGGCAAGTAGGCAGGGGAGAAATTTCAGTGGTGGGCCCTTAAAAAAAAATCTCGAAACTAGCTCTATACCATGTGAGAATGATAGACAAAAGAATGAATGAACTAGAAATGAGATGGGTACATATAGGAAACACATAAGTGTTGTACCCACTAAGAGCTACCCCACTACAGCTTAAATAGACCATAGCAGATATAAGTTTGACACATGCATCTCGGCATCTCTGCATATTGGCATGTCTGCATGTCTGCATGGCTGACTGCATGGCTGCATGCCAGGATGTTGGCGGGAGAAGGAGCACTGCTGTGGGCTAAGAAGCATGCCCCAGATGCTGTTGCAAGGCGCCCTCAGGTGTGTGTGTGTGTGTGTGTGTGTGTGTGTGTGCGAGCGCGTATATGAGTGAGTGTGCGTGTGTGCTAGTGTGTGAGTGAGTGTGTCTGTGTAGGAGTGGGTGGGCGTGCGTGCTCTGTCTTATCATGAATTTCTTACTGGGATGGCATGATGTGGCGTGGCATGGCAAGAACGGGGCGGCATGGCATGGCAGGATCTGGTGACAGCAGCAGCAGAAGGCCAGTGGGGCAAATACAGGAAACTCGTGGGCGTTCTGGAGTAGCTTCATTGGAGTCACTTCTGAGAATTCTCAAAAGTGACTGCGTTCGAATCGTTTGTTCTCTCTTCATGGCAGGATCTGGTGACTGCAGCAGCAGAAGCCCAGTGGCGCAAGTACATGCAACTTGTGGGGGCTTTGGAGAAACTCCAGGTGAGAAAGGAGGGGGCAGGAGAAGGGGAAGAGAAGCTAGAAGAATTGCGGATGGAGCAGGGTGCTTTTACGAATCACAAAAAACAATCAGGTGGCAAGGGCACGTGGGGGGGCGGTTCAGAGGGGGAAGGCAGAGGCCATGGGGAAAGGAAAAAAATGAAGCGGGAGGGTGATGAGGAGACTGTTGGTGAGGAAAACATTGAAGCCAGAAGCGGGGAGGTGGGTCAGACTGGAGGTCAAGAGGGAGAAGAAAGAGCGAGGGTAATTGGAGAGGAGGGAGAGGAGGAGGGAGGGGAGGAGGGAGAGGAGGAGGGAAAGGAGGAGGAAGAGGAGGGAGGAGAGGGAGAGGAAGAGGAGGAGGAGGAGGGGCAGGAGGATCCGTGGGACACAGTGGGAGCGGTGTGCTTTGAGGTGTCAAGCGGAGCAGCAGCAGCAGCCTCCAGTGGAGGCATCGCTTTCAAGGTGAGCGCTGTTGCTGGGGTGAGAACTTGGCTTGCTAACCCCATCGACCCCATCCATCTGACCATCCCTTAACATGTTCTTTCTCCCGTTGTTCTCATGTTCCTGTCTTTTCCTCTGCACGCCATTGCATTGCATGTATCTCTTCTCCTCTCCCTGTGCAGGCGCCGGGCAGGGTGGGGTGTGCAGCCATGCACGGGGCAGCCTGCTGGGCCGATGCTTCCATCAGCACCGCATCCAACCTAGCCAATTCACCAGCAGCAGTTCCAACATGCTCTGAGGCTTCTCGAAAGGCCAGTGGCAAAAACAATTTCCATAGAGTGGCGGCGGCGGGGGAAACTGAATCAGGTCATGATCGAAAGCAGCAGCAGCAGAAGCAGCATATGCTTGCTGTGGCTGCCAGCGTGTCGGGGGCCGGCGAGCCAATCGTGGAGTGCCAGCTGGCGCGGTGCGTGTGCGAGGCGGCCATGGGAGGTGGCGCTTTTGACCCTGCAGCGATGGGGATAGCACGGTTCAATGCACACGTGGCAGCTGTGTCAGCAACATCAGATCAGCATCAGCTGTGTTCGGGTGCACACAATGAGCAACCAGAACAAGTGCAGCAACAGCAACAGCAGCAACAGCGGGAAGCAGAGAGGAAGGGGCAGTGGCCCGTTGCTTCTGATGTTGGTCTGCTGCTGCTCTCTGCTTACCCACAGCAAAAGGTACTGATCTCTGCACCCATTGGCCTCCCAGTCTCATGTCATTGTACTGTAGCATTTGTGTTCGCTCTTACTAAATTTTTATGTTTTATTACAATTTCTGGTGTCTCTCTCTAGAGTGGTGAAGTTGCAGTTGAGCTGACAGCATCCTTCCAGGCTCGCTCGTTCGGTTTTGGAGTGACCTCTTCTGCCGACTCTCAGTACGATGTATGTATTTTCCTCCAGCAGTGCAGGGCTGTGTTGTGACATATTATTTTAAGCTGCTCACATGAAATCTAGTGGGTGTTGTGCAGGTCCAGATTATGCGAGCAACTCAAAAGTCTAGTTCAACAAGCGACTGTACATTTATGTCACTCTTTCGGATATAAGCAATGTTGCACGCTTATATTACATGATGCTTCAATGAAGCGTGTGTTGGGTGTGCACTCTACCTTATAACAACGCGTATCATTACGATGAATGTTCAGTGAGCCGTCAACCACCGATGTTGACGAGACCCTTGTAGGTCGCTGTCGCCAACGGCGAGGTTACCAACCGAAGTCATTTGCGAGGCTCGCGAACACTTTTGTGATGTCAGAAGAATGTTTGCCTCGCTCTTTGACAGGTTTGGTGCTGGCAGTGGCAGACAGAAGTGTAGCACACATCACCATGACCAAGACACATGTGGAGTTTATTTCCTTGAACAGTTAAGAACATCAGGCATATACTTCGCTGGCGAATCGACTTGCTAACATAGCTAGACTTGAAGCTTATTGAGAATGCTGCGAGATGAGAGTCCTCAACGCGAGTGCTGCTGCGACGCGATCGTAACGCGCGTTGGTTAGCTCGCGTTTCGAGCCAGCTCGGGATTTTATAATAGCCTGTTCCTGATTAGTGCTCTAGGTCTTATGGCAGCGACTGTGGAGTCCAGCGGGCTTTGCAGCTGATTCTAGTAATATAGATATATATTCATTCTTCATAATGATATGTTACAGTACATAACGGATAAATGGCGGAGGCAGCGGCTGCAGCCGTGTTGTCGCGACGACATCACGACGAGCCAGCAGGCGACGCCGGCGAAGGCGACGGCGACGCATTGCGTCCCACGAGTCCCCAGACGAGCATAGACCGCCATTCGCCAGGGAATTCTCGGTCTTCGCTTCCCAAGTCCGGTTCGCTACCCAAGTCAGACGCGTTGCTCGATCCCTCCTCGTCTGCTTACTCTGCCGAGCGCGTGTTTCCGAGGTCATCCTCGTTATTAGACGACCCCTCTAAGTTTGAGGCGTATGAGCAGCTAAACCGGAACCAGGCGGGTATCTCGAGGTGAGGACACTGACTCCAATAATATTTTCGTCCCTGCGTGGGATTATCTCATTCTACATGTAGCTTGTCACCTGTGAAAATAACCGCTTTGTTCGCCCATGTAACCAGTGACCAACGTCCGTTACTTATGTAACCAGTAACCGGCATTTGTGCTTTCCCTGTGCGTGCAGCTTTGCCAGCAGCAGCCTTTCCAAGCAGCGCAGCTACACTCGCAATGTCGCCTCCCATAATCATGCTCATCATGAGGGTCCAGGGACCACTGTGCGGCACCAGGGACCACCAGGGTCTCTGGAACTATCGGCATTCCCTAGGGAGCCACGATTTCCGAATCCAGGATTATATGAGGGTCGCGCATTGTCTGAAGCTTTGGTTAGCGGAGATTTGGAGGGGCCAGTGGTTGAGCGGGATGGAGGGGGGGCTGATGTTTCGAATGTTCCAGAATCGTCAGCGTCAGGAATCGAACCCGGGTCTGCTGCACGTTCAGGGGGTGCATCTGAGCCTGGTGTAGCTTCAACTATAGCAGGAACAGTGACAGGACCCCCAAGCTCCGAACCCCCAGGTTCAGGGCCCCCAAGTTCAGGTCCCCCAGGGTCAGGAGGAACTTTAGGCACAGGAACAATGATCACCAACACCCTAACCACAGAAACCCTAATTACACAAGCCCTTAGCACAGGAACCGTAACTCCACAAAAGATGCCACAATCTTTTCCACGCTCCTCTCTTAGGCGTTCAAGTGTTAAGGCTGCTCGCTCCTCCTCCTCATCTTCCTCTCGTGGGAAGCTGAGTGTGCGGTGGGCTTTGGCGGAGGGAGAGGAGGGGAGTGAGGGAGTGGGGAGGAGGAGGAGTAGTGTGGCTCGAGTGGAGGAAGGGGATGGGGAGGGAATGGGTGAGGGGGAAGGGCTGATAGGCGGAGAGGAAGGTGGGGAGAGAGAGGGGGAGGGGGGGGTTGAGGGGGAAGGAGAGGGACTGGGAGGCAGGAGGCGGAACGGGAAGTTGTTTCGAATGTTGAGTGCCGATTCTTGCGTTGGAGGGGAAAATGGGGGTAGGAGTGGGGCGTATGGGGGCAGGGGTATGGATGAGGGGAGCAGGGATTGGGGGAGAGCGGGGAGAAGTATTGGGGGAAGGGGGGGATGGGGAGGGTCAATGGGTTGGTGGCGGGGTTGGGGGAGAGATGCAGCAGAGGGAGGGGGTGTGAGTGATTGGGAGGAAGCAGGGCCAGGAGGAAGGGGAGGAGGAGGGCGAGGAGGAAGAGGAGCAGCGGGAGAGGGAGGAGGAGTGGGAAGGAACATGGGAGGGATAGTGGCAGAGGGAGTGGCTCTTTTGGATGATGAGGAGGTGGAGAGGATGGATGACGAGGTGATTCAAGGTACGTGCCTGCTGCTACAGAGGGGTTTCATTCTCTCTTGTAGCACGTCAAGGTACGTGCCTGCTGCTACAGAGGGGTTTCATTCTCCCCAAGAATCTTTTGTTGGGTGGTGAGGGAGGAGGTGGAGAGGATGGATGACGAGGTGATTCAAGGTACGTGCCTGCTGCTACAGAGGGGTTTCATTCTCCCCCAGAATTCTTTGTTGGATGATGAGGGAGGAGGTGGAGAAGATGGATGAGGAGGTGATAAGGTACGTGTATGCACAAGGGTTCCACTCTCGCTTGTTGGTGAGGTGAGGGTTTCAGCTGCAGAAGGTCAATTATGCGGCTTATCTAAACTGCCTCGAAAGTAGTGTGAAAAGTTGCTGTATATGAGGCGCCTCTGCGATTTCTTTACAACCTATTGCAAGGGGGAGGGTGGGAGAGGGAGGAGAGGAAATCCCTTTGAGGAGGACATTCAAGTCAAGGTAGGGGCTTGCAAAGGATTTTCCTCTCCTCCCCCACTTCCCCCCCTCCTCTACACCCCCACCGCACACCCCCCCCCCCCCCACCCCACCATTCTTCCGCCCCTTTCCAACACCACCTCCTTTCCCCACTCCCCTTCCCTTTTTTGCAGCGCTGTTTGAGCGAGTGGTAGAGGCACAGACGCAGCTGCACAATCACAGGAACCTGCTCGCCTTCTCGCTCGTCACCTGCCTAGCTCCCTGCCTTCTTTTCTCCCTTTTCCGCCGCCCTCCTTGCTTGCACACAACGCTATTTGAGCGCGTGGTGGAGGCACAGTCGTAGCTGCACAGCTATAGGAACCTAATCTCCTACTCCCCCTTCAACCCCCTTTTCGCCCCCTTGCGCAACCCCCCCTCCCTCTTTCCCCCCCTGGTCGCTTGCAGCCTTATTCGAGCGGATGGTGGAGGCACAGACGCAGCTACACAATTACAAGAACCTCGTCGCTTTCACGCTCTTCACTGCGCTCTATCTCCTCATGCTCTGCCTTCAGGTGCCTTCAGGTGCCATCAGGTGCCTTATATGATGCTCTGCTTTCAGATGCCTTCAGGTGCTGTCAGGTGGTGCCGTCAGTTGCCTTCAGGTGGTGCTTTCAGGTACATTCAGATGCCTTCAGATGCCTTCAGGTACATCAGGTGCCATCAGGTGGTGCCTTCAATTGCCTTCAGGTGGTGCTTTCAGGTGCCTTCAGATGCCTTCAGATGCCTTCAGATGCCTTCAGGTGCCGTCAGGTGCCATTTCTCAACTGTGTCTGAGCTGAGTTATCCAATTGCGTTTCTCCTCTCAGCCTGCTTGCCCTGCGAAATTGCGTCTCTGAGCTGCACTGCACCACCTTCATCACTGTCGTTCTCTCTCATGCCCTCCCTCTCTCGCGCCCTTATCCCCTCACCAGGCTCAGTCCTTCCAGAGCTACCAGGTGGCCTCAGCTCACTCCATCCTGCTGCCTCCTGTGGGCTTATGGCTGCGCTGTCACCCTCTCTCACCCACTCTCACGTCCTCTCACGCCCTGTCATCGCAACCCTCCCCACCAGGCTCAGTCCTTCCAGAGCTACCAGGTGGCCTCAGCTCACTCCATCCTGCTGCCTCCCGTATGCCCTTCTTCTTTCTCCCCTTTCCTCCCTCTCCCTTTTCCTCTTTCTCCCCTTTCTTCCTTCTCCCCTTTCCTCTTTCTCCCGTTTCCTCCCCCCCCTTTTCTTCTTTCTCCCCTTTCCTCCCTCTCCCTTTTCCTCTTTCTCCCCTTTCCTCCCTATCCCTTTTCTTCTTTCTCCCCTTTCCTCCCTCTTCCTTTTCTTCTTTCTCCCCTTTCCTCCCATCTCCCCATTCGTCCCCATTCTCCTCCTTTCTTTCTATTCTCTTCCCTCTCCCTAATTTCCGTAAAGCTCAACTTAAGCCTTTAGAATCCTTATGTTTATGCTTCACCCAGTTCATAACTTAAACTACTGTAGCGTCTTTGCCCCTGTTACATAACCTCATACATGTTGTGGCCTCTGAACCTGCTATGTGCTGTGCTGGGGTTTTGTGAGGGGTGCGTGTGCGTTTGCGCGTGCCCCCCCGTGTGTGTGTGTGTGTGTGTGTGTGTGTGTGTGTGTGTGTGTGTGTGTGTGTATGCGCGTGTGCATGCTTGCGTGCGTGCATGTGTGTGTGTGCGTGCATGTGCATGCGTGCATGCATGCGTGCGTGCGTGTGTGCATCAGGACTACTCAGGGGACTCAAGCTACTCCTTCGCCAGCAGCAGCGACTTCTACACCTGGCTCAACAACAGCATCATTCAGGTGAGTGCATTCCACACAACGTTAGAAGTTGAGGTGTGTGGGTGTTCATTCGTGCATGCGTGTGTGCATTTGCGCGTTGCGTGCATGCATGCTGCTGCAGCGACTTCTACACCTGGCTCAACAACAGCATCATTCAGGTGAGTTCATTCTACAGAGTCCATGGGTCGGTCATACAGGCAATTCCATTCACGGGTCTGGTTCTTTCGGCTCAACAACAGCATTATTCAGGTCAGTTCATTCTACAGAGTCCATGGGTCGGTCATACAGGCAATTTGTTTCACAGGTCTGGTTCTTCCGGCGTAACAACATCATCATTTAGGTGAGTGCATTTCTGATGGGTCATTTGGGTCAGGTTGAAACTCCACAGGACTGCAGAAACATGGGTGGCATGGCAACGGTGGCGGTGGTGACAAGGCACTGATGATACTTGCCCCCTCTCTTCCTCTCTCCACCTCCCCACAGGTCATATGGTCAGACCCTCAATGTGGTGATGGCACATGCACGCCCCCCACAGAGTTCCCCGCAGTGGGTCGATTCGGCTGCGCCCAGGACTGCGGTAACGCGCGTAACGTTACAACGGTGACGGTGGCGCTGCGGTGCCACTTCACATCGAGGGAGGCCATGCTGAGCAGCTCGTGGAACCTCTGCTCCACCGCCATCCGAGACGTGTGCTGGTGAGTTGGCAGAGGGAGTGAATGCACTAGTCAGCGAGTTAGTGAGTGAGTGAGTGAGTTAGTGAGTGAGTGAGTTAGTGAGTGAGTGAGTAGTGATTGAGTGAGTAGTGATTGAGTGAGTCGTGAGTGAGTGAGTAGTGAGTGAGTGAGTAGTGATTGAGTGAGTAGTGAGTGAGTAGTGATTGAGTGAGTAGTGATTGAATGAGTAGTGATTGAGTGAGTAGTGATTGAGTGAGTAGTGAGTGAGTGAGTAGTGATTGAGTGAGTAGTGATTGAGTGAGTAGTGATTGAGTGAGTAGTGATTGAGTGAGTAGTGAGTGAGTGAGTAGTGAGTGAGTGAGTAGTGATTGAGTGTGACGGTGGCGTTGCGGTGCCACTTCACATCAAGAGAAGCCATGCTGAGCAGCTCCTGGAACCTTTGCTCCACTGCCATCCGAGACGTGTGCTGGTGAGTGAGCGTGCAAGTGTGTGTTTGTGCGAGTGATGGTGGTGACGGTGGCGTTGCGGTGCCAATTTTCATCAGCTCGTGGAACCTCTGTTCCACCGCCATCCGAGACGTGTGCTGGTGAGTTCTCCGGCTGTTCTGGTGTGACGTTGAATGAGTGTGAGTGTAGAGGAAGTTGTGATGTGACGGTGGCGCTGCGGTGCCACTTTGCATCCAGGAAAGCCATGCTAAGCAGCTCCTGGAACCTCTGTTCTACTGCTATCCGAGATGTGTGCTGGTGAGCCCTCTGCTCCAGTATGAGTGCCTGCCTGTGTGTGGGTGTATGAATGAGTGTGGCGGCGGTGACGGTGGCGCTGCGGTGCCACTTCGCATCGAGGGAGGCCATGATAAGCAGCTCCTGGAACCTCTGCTCCACCGCCATCCGAGACGTGTGCTGGTGAGTGTGTCTTGTAGTGGGTTGTCTGTGACAGTGGCATGACGGTGGCCCTGAGGTGCCACTTTGCATCAAGAGAGGCCATGCTGAGGAGCTCATGGAACCTGTGCTCCACCGCCATTCGAGACGTGTGCTGGTGAGTGAAGGAGTGAGTGAGTGCGAGTGTGAGTAACTTTTATCTGCTACCCTCCCAAAGGCCTGCTAAGCCCCAAGTACCCTCCCCACACCTGCTCCCCACACCTGCTCCCCACACCTGCTCCCCACACCTGCTCCCCACACCTGCTCCCCACACCTGCTCCCCACACCTGCTCCCCACACCTGCTCCCCACACCTGCTCCCCACACCTGCTCCCCACACCTGCTCCCCACACCTGCTGCCCACACCTGCTCCCCACACCTGCTCCCCACACCTGCTCCCCACACCCGCTGCCCACACCCTCTCCTCTCCCCACACCCTCTCAGGTTCCAGGACCCCCGGCTATTCATGGGAGGGACATGGTGACAGTGCGTCTGCCAGACAACGACTGGTTTGTCTCCCTCCTCTTCCCTCCCCTCCCCCCTTGTCCCTCCCGCACACCAGGTTCGAGGACCCCCAGCTATTCACAGAAATGACGGGCTGGCACACGGTCACAGTGCGCCTGCCCTCACTGCCCCTTTCTAAGCCTCTTCTCCCGTCCCCTCCCCTCCTCTCCCCCCTCTCACCTCAGGTTCCAGGACCCCCAGCAATTCACGGAGCTGACAGGCTGGTACACGGTCACATTGCGCCTGCCAGACAACGACTGGTTTGTCTCCCTCACTGCTCCCAGCGGTGGCGTCGGTGTCTACGTGTACGAGTCCCTGGGGAAGAAGACAAGCGCCTCAGAGCCAGGCTCGTCCTCTGGTCTCAATGGCTCAGGCTCAGCTGCTGATGGCTCGAGTCAATCTCCACCACCGTCGCCGCCACCCCCTGTTTCCACCGCCCCTGCCCCCACTCCCTTCCAACCAACTTCCTCCTCCTCCTCCCATTCATCCGCCTTCCCCTCTCCTCCACCCGCTTCCGCCACTGCTCCCTCCTCCTCTGCTTCGTCTGCCCCTTCGTTGTCCACGAAGGAGTATCTGCGGCCATCCAATGGCACGGGGGCTAACGTGCTGCTTGCGAGCGTTGACGGGTGTGTGGAGGACGGCGAGAGTGGCCTGCAGCGGTGCAGACAGGTATGGTGCGGTGGAGAGGTTCTGAAGGCGTGCATGCTGCAGTGCAGTGTAAACAGGTGCAATGCGGTGTCATGTGCTGTCATTGTCAGCAATCTGCTCTATGCTCCCCCTTCTCCTCCCTCCCGTCTCCTCACTCTCCTCTCCGCTTTCCCTCGCTTCTCCCATGCCCCAGACCTGTGCCATATGGACTATCTGTCTCCCACAACTGTGCACCAGCAGCAGTAGCAGCAGCGGCAGCAGCAATGCCGATGCCAATACCAGCAGCAGCAGCGCGAGCTCCAGTGCTGCCACATCTCTGCCCATGCGTGTGGCCTCAGCAGCGTTAGGCAGCTGCTTCCAGGCGTGCAACGCCATGCTGCCAGGGACTGCCTTTGACCCACCTGATAACATCACCTGCTCCCAGGTGAGACCCCTCTCTTGGACACATTCCAAACTGAAGTGCCTAAACTAAAAGATTTGCCATGCTGCCAGGGACCTCCCTCCCTCACCCCCCTGGTGACATCATTTGTTCCCAGGTCAGGTCAGGTCAGGTCAGGTCAGGTCAGGTCAGGTCAGGTCAGGTCAGGTCACTCTTGCACGCAGCTGCATTCAGTTCAGGCCTCTTCCCTGACCTCTCGTGGGTCGGGTCGGGAGAGCATCATCAAAAGGTAGGGGTTATGTATCAGTCTCGGCTAAAGACGGAGAGTATTATTTTCAAGCTCCTGACGTGGCATGGCATGGAAGGGAAACTCTTCCTGTGTGCTCCCACTCTCCCCTTGTCTCTTTCTCCCTTCCCCTCCAAACAATGTTGTCCCTGGCAGGCATTCACTCTGTTCGAGGCGTCTCTGCAAACGCCGTCCTGCTCCGGTGCTCCTTCCTGCCCCTGACCTCACCTCCCTCGTTGCCCCTACCCTCTCCTTGCCCCTACCTCCCACTGCCATTTCCTCATATTCTGCTGCTGTCTTTGCAAGTATAGGCACCCGCTGTCAATCCATGCTTTTTCTTTGTTTCCTGTCAATCCATGTCCTTTCTCCATCTCCTTTCAATCCTGCTGGCTGTCGGTCCTTGTTTGTATCTCCTGTATCCCCACCCCACCGCTTGTGTGCCATCAGAGTCGGTAAATCTTCCTCTGATCCTACCTCGTTTTGCTCGCAATGGCGTTGGCATGTGTGCAGATATGCTCTCTGAGTCCCCTGCAGCAGCAACCCCCCAGCCGCCTACTGCAGCAGCAGCACCAACAGCACCAGCAGTGTCAGCAGCAGTGGAGACACCGAAGGCGACGAGTTCCCTTTCTGCTCGTTTGCTACTTGAACCCTCTGCTCCCGATGAGCACCCCATGTCCTCCCTGCACCCCTCTTGGCCTGCCGAGTCTCTCTTGAATTCCTGGACTGGCATGGCATCAGTGCACCTGGTACGTGGCAAAGCCATGCTGTTCTGCCTTTTCTGTATGATGTAGGCCTGATCCCCTGTCCGTCTTGGATTTTTGTTGGGTGTTATCCAGTACAATTCTTTGTCATTGGGGTGTTTCAGATGTATGTCATCGCGCTCCTTCCTTCTTTTTCCAGCTGTATTGCCATTTCCCATCTCCATGTCTCCACATCTCCACATCTCTATCCTGCCAGCACCACCAGCAGCTGAGGCAGAAGCCAAGGGAGGAGCGGACCGATGCTTCTACCCTCCACGCCCCTCACAAGAGTTCCCTCACAGCCAGCGCTGTTCGCTCCAGCCGCCAGCTCTTTCCCTCTCCTCCAACTTCCTCGTTCATTCCAGGTACCTCTGCCCTGCCCTTTTGGTCAAATTTGAGTCGGTTAAGAGTAACAAAACGCCCCTCACTAGAGTGTTGCTGCTGTTCGCTCCAGTCGCCAGCTCTTCCCCTCTCCTCCGACCTCCTCGTTCATCGCAGGTGCCTCAGCCCTGCCCTTCTGCTCTGTCAGTCAGTTGAAAAATGGTTCGTCTCGGGTGCTAAGGTTTTTGAGACATCTCACCCTCCCATTCCCCCCATCCTCCCCCATCCCCGCCTTAGCAACCTCCTCCCAACTAATCACAGAAGCCCAGCGGCTCGTGTGGGAGAGCCTCGGAACAATGGACAGCGAGCGAATTAGAGCGTGCCAGGTGGCGGTGGCGCGGGCACTGTACACTGCAGTGAAGGAGAACTGCTTGGCTGGCCGGACAGATAACAGCAGCAGCAGCAGCGGCAGCAGTAGTGCCAGCAGCGCCACAATCACCACCACCAGTAGCAGCAAGGATTACAGCGGCAGCAGCAGCGGCAGCAGCACCACCAGCAGCAGCAGCAGCACGGAACAGTCCTCGCCAGCCAAGAGCCTCTCCCTGGCCTCGCGCAATCGCCTTGTCGCCCTTCTCTGCACTCTCTTCGCGGGACCTTTCGCCTCCCACCCGCGATGCAACTTCACGGACGCTTCCTCTGGGCGGCAGCTGACGGATCATGCAGAGCTGGTGGAGTACATTCGAGCGACGCACCGCAGGTGAGGGAAGAATAGGGTTTGCTCAAACATGTGTGATTATTGGCAGGGGGTTTACCCATTCTACACTCTATCATCATGCATCACCAGGGTCCTTTTTCCCTACCCCCATCCTTCCTCCCTCAACTCATTTTCAACTCTCCCTCCTCCCATACCTATCCTGGTTCTCCCCCTCTCAGTCCCTCCCGACGCTTCTCTGCCGCCCAGCAGGCTCTTTTCGTCCACATCCTCGTCATGGCGCTGCAGTCAGTCGTGCAGAAGATGCCAAGCGATGCCGTCCAGGCTGCCACCCACCTGCTCCACATCTTCAACGATGCAGTGGTGTCGCCAGACGCCTCGCCTTGCCCCCAAGGTGCCTCTCTGTTCCTCTCAGGTGCTCTCGTTTTTTAACACTCTCTGTTTGTCTGAAGTTTCGTTCTGTTTCTCCCAAGGACTCGACTCAAGAGCTTCGTCTTCTACCTATCCCCCTCTCCAATCCCCCAGCGGACTACATGGTGCTGTGGGATTCAGCATCCTTCACCCGCCGTGTCATATCGGACGGGCAGCGGGTCACGTGGGTGTGGAACGACGACGACTATCATGAGCTCTCAGGTGCGGCGAGAGAGATTAGTCAAGAAACACTCTGCTTCCGATGCAAGTCTCACAATGCTATGGACCTTGCCTCACCGCCTTTGCCATGCCATGCCCACGTGGGTGGGTGTGTGCGGAATGATGACACCCACCACGAGCTCTCAGAGATCACAATGATAACAGTTTGTTGTGTGTGATGGGTGCATCTTTCTTTGCTTCCCTCACAGCAGGGTCAGTGGGCTCGGAGCCGTTTCTCGGGTTTGGAGCGGGGCGGCTCGGCCTATCACGGCTTGCCACGTGTGCATGGGATAAGATCGGCCCCAGAGATGCGTCAGATGAGCCTGCACCATGCGTGCTGCGTGAGTGGTGATGTGACATGCCATGCTGGCATGTGGTGAAATACCATGCTGGCGTGCGTGTGGTGATATGCCATGCTGACATTTTGTGATATGCCTGCATGTGTGCTCTTCTTTTCTGTATCTCAAACAAACCACTCACCCGGCGCCCTTCTCTGCAAGTTTTCCCGATGATACACCACTGCTGCAGGCAGTTCTCTTACACCAAGGTGTTTGACGCTGCGTGCATGTATGTTATCCAACGTCTATTTTTTCTAAGTTTCAGCGCACTCCTTGCACCCTTCTCTGCAGGCTCTCCCGACGACACATCACCACCGCAGTTTGCATACACCAAGGTGTTTGGCACTGCGCGGGACATGGCAGTGAGAGACTCGCCTCAGTCACTCACGTTCACACTTATCCGCGCCAGGAATGAGACAGGTGCGTGCATGGGTGCATGTGGCATGGCACTAAATGTGCACGGGTGCATGAGTGCACAGATGGGTGGATGGTTGTTTGGCACGGCCCGAGACATGGCAGTGAGTGGTTCTCCTCAGTCGCTTGCATTCACTCTCATCCGCGCCAGGAATGAGTCAGGTGCGCAGCGTGTGTGAAGTGTGTTTTGTGTGTGTGTGTGTGTGTGTGTGTGTGTGTGTGCGTGTGTGGGCGTGCATGACACTGGACTTGTGCATGCGTGCATGGGTGCTGTGCGTTGCAATAGCTCGGGACACGGCAGCGAGAGAGGGACTCTCCCCGGTCACCCGCATTCACTCTCATCTCATCCGTGCCAGGAATGATTCAGGTGCGTGCATGTGACCAACCCTGCAATGTGACCAACCAAACCTGCAATGTGACCAACCCTGCAATGTGACCAACCCTGCAATGTGACCAACCAACCCTGCAATGTGACCAACCAACCCAGTACTATAGGGACGCGTGACGTCATCAATGCCGCCCCACGGGTCCTGGCACATTCGGAAATTGGGGCAAACCGAAAAACCCCCCAAATCCCTCGGGTCACCCTGAAAATCCCTCCTGACCAGGCGAAAAATCCCTCCGTCTCAATGTCGTATTCTTACGCGCATATATATGTCAGCCGTACTGTTGCAATTTCGGGGACATTGATCGAGCACTGCTCGACGGGCATTGGCCAATCGCCGTCGAGCACCGTGCACCCCCGACAAGACGGGTTATAGCGCCTGGCGTCGCCATCGACGTCGCCTGACAGGCCGCGCTGTCGGTCGACGTGAGTGGTAACGGGTTTCGCAACTGGCCGACGGTCACAATCGACGGCGCCGTCAAGTGCGGTCGACCGATCACTTTGACGGTCGAGCGAGACGTCGCTGTCGGACGGGCAACGGGTTACAAAAGTCGCCATCAAAGGGGTCACGTCAACAGATGACGGCCACGTCAAAGGCCAAGGCCTTGAGGACATCTGTAAGGGAAGGGTTATCAGCCAACTACGGTATAAATGAAATCATAAATTGGGAGCAGCAGTAACATCGTTTTTCTCTGTTTGGCCAACGCTACGGCAATGAGAGCTTTCGGGTAGGCACTGTTGGAGAACGATCCGTCGAGGACAACGCCTTTCCGGCAGGCAGCGGTAGGACCGCTAGGTGTCGACGTTGAAACCATCTCGACACAACCCCTCCCTCGGACGTCACAAGCCATTCCGGGCTCGACACCGCCACCCTCGACGTCACGAGCCATACCGGGCTCGACAGCTCCACACTCGACGTCACGAGCCATACCGGTATCCACAGCGCCACCCTCGACGTCAAGCACCTCACCTCAACACCAAGCACCTCATCACGCAACTTCGGGCCGATATCATCCTCCACAAGGAGGAGGGAGGGAAAAAAGAAATCCAGATCAACCAGCTCGAGAAGCAGGTCGAGTCATTGGAGCGGGAGAAGAGCTCGATGAAGTCAGAGCTGGAGGCGAAGACAGAGGCGTTCGCGCAACTACAGAAAGCGTTCGACGCACTGAAGAATACCGCGGCGACAAGCGCAGCTGCAAATGTGGGGGAGAGCGAGAGCGTGCCGCAGACGGCGACCGAGGAAGCCACCCCGGATCCACAGCAAGCCTAACAAGCAATGCCCTCTTGACAGAGCGTGGGCAGCCAGCTCGACCAGGCATTCTTCGACGCGGTGGTGTGGCCGTGGTGCAATTGCGAGACCGTGCGGAAAGCGTGGTCGTACTGGGACGGGCCAAGCCCACTGAACAACGGGCATAGTCTTCGACAGGCTTACAAGAGAGGCTCCACCGTAAAGTTCTGCAAGTTCACACCGACTCCACCCCCCGTAACCCCCGAAAAGGAGGCCCAGCCAAAAGAAAATCCACTCGATCAACATGCTTTCGGAGGGCATCGTTCTCAAGGAGGATTATGGGAGGCAGCTCATGAAAAAGCGCAAAGTCGAGTCTGCGGAGGAAAACCGGAAGGACAAACAACGCCTCAGAATCACTCTGGTGCTCATTCGCGTCGAGCTCCGATCCGCTAAATGGGAGGAGAAAGTGTTTGGCAAGGAGAAATGGAAAGAGTTCACGGGAACAACTGGCGCGCGGCCTAGTTCGACGGGCAACCGTGAAGCGGGGGGAACTTAGTGTAGGTTGTTCTTTCAGGTTTTACATGGCATTTCCCCCGTATGCTTGTTGTGAGACCATCTCGACAAGATGAACCAATTGAGCATTATCGAAAACATAATGTCAAAGCAATGAAGCCAAAGCACATAAGATCGAAATATATCTCGAAACAACAAACACATCTGTCGAATGATGCAAAAACCCCCACGCAATGCACCCGCCTATACTACTCCCCTTGCCTGCCTGTTTCCGCCTCTGTAGCATCCTCGTCGCCCAGCTTCGCCTTGCTCTTTTCTTCTGGCATAGCCAGGCTCCCATAGCCCGCGTCCTCCAGCAAACGGGCAGCAAATCGACAGCAGCACCATTGCGTACAGACCTGTGCTGCCACGCGCACCATCTGCAACAGGATGGCGTCAGTCGAGCCGAGGCCTTGGACAACCGACGCATATAGCAGATTGGGCCACTGCTTGGCCGGAAACGTCTTGCCGACGTGCAAAAGTACGGACACGAGCGCGGCCATGGCAGCCGCACTAGCCCGTGTCGCCATCTCCGGGGCGTAGAGCGCTGCATTTGCGGCAGCTAGGGCATTCTTGTTAATATCTTCCCTCGACAACTTCTTGCAGGCCGCTCACAAGCTTGCCACAGTTGCTGCGACGACCATCATGTGCGCAGTCCCGTGCATGTTTTTCGGGACCGGATAAATCCGGTTCCCGTGCTTCTGGCCAAGCGTCGCAACCTTCCCAATCGCCGCGCACAGCGCAATTCCCCAGTCTGTTCCGGCTCTCACTTCCGTATTTGTCGTCGCCAGCAGCGACTGGAAACTGCAAATCGAAACAAATGCGTTAGTCAGACGGCACAACTTCGACAGAAAATACGACAGCAATTCGACGGAAAGAACAAAACCGCTACGACAATCAAACTACAGGACTTCGACATAACTCATTCCTCGAAACGACATTCCCCTTGTTCTTGCACCACGCTCCAAACGCCGGTGGGCATACCAGCGGCTGCATCAAGATAGACATTCCAGTCCTTCTCATCCTGCGTCGTGAACCCCTCGTACTCCTTAAGGTCTATGCTGGGGAAGAACACGCGCCAGCAGATGGCCGTACAAAACTTTTGGTCCGCCTCCATTTCAAAAGTGCCCAGGAACCGCTTCCTCGAGCCTACCGTCTGCTCGGAAACCGGCTTCCCCTTCCGCGACATCATGCCCGGTCCTTTGAAGGGAGCTTTGCAGCCTCTCGTCTTGCCTTGGTCGTCCGGCGGAGGAGGTGGGGGCACCTCGCTTTTCCACGGCTCCTTTCCCGACTAAGGCGACGAATTCGATTGGGGCACCACTTTTCTCCCCCGCAACCACTCCTTTCCCACCCTTTTTCCCGAGGCCCTGCAGCATGTCCTGCAGCGGAGCAAAAGCATCAGGCGGAGGCTTCGGTGCCGCTTCGGATATCTTCTGAAGGGGCGACTGGTCGAGTACGATGACCTCCTTGTCCTCGACGGACTTGCCGACGGTCTGACGCGCACGCGACGGTGGGGATGCTACCGGGCTGCCGACATGTCCTCCCACCGAAGAAGGAGGAACCGAGCGCTCATGAACTCGACGCTCAACCCCGTTGCGACACCCGCCACCCCCTCCTCTTGACGCGACCTCGTCGACGGGCCTGCCGAGCCCCGAAACCCTCTCGCCATCGCTTCGGTGAGGACTTCAGGTTCTTGGTAGCCTTCTCTCACAACGTCCTTCAGCTCCTTCATGCTCTTGGGCGGGAGGGTGGAGTAGAACAAGTTCTCCTTGACGGCTTTCTCAATACCCTTCACGACCGAAGCAACCAGCCGCTCCTCGACAAACTTGATCTGCTTCTCGACGGCGTCCTCGCTCGCTTTTGTGATAGCGGCTGCCACCCCCTCGATGATTTTTCCGCTCATCTCGTCGAGCTTCGTGCGCGCCCCTTCCAATAGCTTCCTCTCTTCCGTGACACCGTTTATGGCGTCGCCGCACTGCTTCAGCGTGCTCTTCGACGACTCCGAAATCATATTCCAGGCCGTCCGAAAATCCCTAGCAAGCTTGTTGAAAACAGCGGCTTGCTCACTGTGCTTCGCAAATACGTCGACGACGAGCTTCTTTTGCGACGCCTCAACCTCCGCGACCCTCTTTAGTAGCTCGACGACCTGGCCTCCGGATGCAATGACCGACGTCGAATGGCCTGCCGTCGAAGGGCGCCTGGTCGAAGGGCCCGCCTGTCCGCTGCCACTGGCCGTGCGGTGTCTCCTTACTGCGACCTATCGCTCATCTCCTTGACGACACTCCTGCCCCACCCTCCTGCGCAGCCGCTGCGCCCTCCTGCTCCTCGACATCCCCATCGTCCCCTGTTGCCTGCTGCTCGATATGCTTCACCCGCACGTCCACCTGCTCCCCGAGCGCCACTCCGTGCTCCTCCGTACGCTCCGTCCCACCTGGATGTTCTCCTGCGTTCTCGCCGTCGTGCTCAACCGACTCATCGCTCGAGCTCGAGCCCTCGTGCTCGTTCGCATGGCTGCCCGGGCCGCTCACCCCGTGCTGAGCTTGCCTCGACGTATCCTCCTCGATCTCCTCCTCCTCCTCGTAGCTGTACTCAACCACGACGCGTGGCGCCCCCTCGCCTCCTCCCTCGTGTTCGGCACCCCCTCCCACTCCTACTCCCTCTGCCACCTCGTCCATCCTTTTCCAAAACAACTTGACCATGAACGACGGAAGCATGCCCGGGCCAGGGCTCGTTCTCCCGAGACTCACGAGATCGCCCTGTCGAGGCTGCAGGATGAAATTGTCCCAGTTCGACAGAATCCGGCGCACCCCATGCACGACACGAGCTGCCGCGCCGGGTTCACTGGGGCTCGTCAGGGTCGTCGTCGTCTGCCACGGGTATAAAACACACGTAAGCGACAGAACAACATGCTCGACGAAAACATGCACGAGTAAGGGTAAGGGTTGCCTTACCAGATGATCGAAACTTGTGATCATGTCCAGATGCCGGTCGATGTCGGCCAGCACCCCCTGCTCGTGCTCGGTCACAACCTGCTGGGTCATCGCGTACTCGGCGCGAAGCTGCCGCTTCATCCAACTGCAAAGCAACGGACAGGAGAGTAAGATTGTCGAGAATGGCAAGTCAACAACGCGAAGTACTGGCAAATCGGTCACTCACACGAGAACTTCATGTGCCAGCGAAGATTGGTGGTTCACCGCGGGAAACCTGTCTTTCGAATCGAAGTGCATCATTCAAGTTCGACAGCCACGGCGCCTCGGAGCCAGCAGATCGTCGGGGCGCGAGACCACAAAACAGGCTCGAGTGGGAGAATGGTGCCACACTCAGGCTGCATGCAGAGCGAATGCACGTGAGCACGGGTTTAGGGCTAAACACAGAGCATGCAAGGCGAAGGGAGAGTGCTGAACTCACGTGGTCCGCAGCAGATTGAGAACCACTTGCTTGCCGAGCAGGCCGCCGAGGTGGTTGTTCGCAAAAGCGATCGGTGTGGGACGCGCCATCTCTTCATGCGCACGCGTCGAAGTCATGATTGACAGCTTGGCGAGCTGCTCGACGGACATCAGCTCCCTTGAAAACAGGCTGCACGGAAAGCTAAGGCACAGTCAGCGTCAGGTAAACATGGCAAACCGAAAATGCTCGACAGGAAACGTACACAACGCCCGCGTTCATCATCATCTCGTCGAGCTCCGCCCTCGGCGCCTCGCTAAGCGCATTCAACTGGTCTCTGAACACCTCCACCTCGATTCCGCCTACGGTTAGGATGAGGCCGCGTCGAACCGTCGGCTCGTTCACGACGGGTAGGGAGGCGGGGCCCGTAGCCATGGCAGGCCTAGCAGTAGGGAGGGCGGGAGCGCAGGGAAGCTGGGAACTAGGGAGTATGGAAGAAACACTCGAAGACTGCAACAAAATGAGAACGCACTCAGGGTATTAGCTGTTTGCCATCTCCCCCACCGAGACAGACTCGGGTGCAAGGGCGACGAGGCAGGGCGCGTTCCGCGACGGCGGTAGGAGGAGCTTTTCGCAGAGGGCGGCGGGGCCCTATTGGCCTCGACGTGAAATTTGGTGGTTGGTTGCATGAGGTGGGGCGCCTTGCATGCAGCTGAAAGGCCCCTTTCAAGGAGCGGGAGGGGGCGTTCGACACGTCACCGGGGTCGAGCGCCCAACGAAACGGGCCCGTCGAGGGCGAGAGCGGTGGAGCGCGGCGCGGATGGGTGTCGCTTCCGTCCGCTCGCGAAAATTCGCGGACGGGTTCCGTCGGCGAGGCGACGCCCGGCGAGGGTTCGGTGGGTTACCGGACGGAACCCGTCTACGAACCAAGGGTGGGGTTTGGTTCGGTTAGGGGGGACCACAGCCAGCTCGAGGGCGCGTGTCGCTGGCGTCATCAGCAGCTGGCGCCAGCTGGGGGTGCCCGTTTTCGGGCGGGGGGGGGGGGGGGGGGTCGGCTCCCGCCCCTCGCGTGCCTCGCTAGGCGACTGCGGGAAAACGGAAATCCCTCCAGGGAAAACCCGCAGGGGCAAAAGCGGGTTTCCGAAGGGATCTCACAGATATCTTCCCCGCAATGTGACCAACCCTGCAATGTGACCAACCAACCCTGCAATGTGACCAACCCTGGAATGACCAACCCTGGAATGTGACCAACCCTGCAATGTGACCAACCAACCCTGCAATGTGACCAACCCCGGAATGTGACCAACCAACCCTGCAATGTGACCAACCCCGGAATGTGACCAACCAACCCTGCAATGTGACCAACCCTGTAATGTGACCAACCCTGCAATGTGACCAACCAACCCTGCAATGTGACCAACCCCGGAATGTGACCAACCAACCCTGCAATGTGACCAACCCCGGAATGTGACCAACCAACCCTGCAATGTGACCAACCAATCCTGCAATGTGACCAACCAACCCTGCAATGTGACCAACCCCGGAATGTGACCAACCAACCCTGCAATGTGACCAACCCCGGAATGTGACCAACCAACCCTGCAATGTGACCAACCAATCCTGCAATGTGACCAACCAACCCTGCAATGTGACCAACCCCGGAATGTGACCAACCAACCCTGCAATGTGACCAACCCCGGAATGTGACCAACCAACCCTGCAATGTGACCAACCAATCCTGCAATGTGACCAACCCTGCAATGTGACCAACCCTGGAATGTGACCAACCAACCCTGCAATGTGACCAACCCCGGAATGTGACCAACCAACCCTGCAATGTGACCAACCCCGGAATGTGACCAACCAACCCTGCAATGTGACCAACACCGGAATGTGACCAACCAACCCTGCAATGTGACCAACCCCGGAATGTGACCAACCAACCCTGCAATGTGACCAACCCCGGAATGTGACCAACCAACCCTGCAATGTGACCAACCCCGGAATGTGACCAACCAACCCTGCAATGTGACCAACCCCGGAATGTGACCAACCAACCCTGCAATGTGACCAACCAATCCTGCAATGTGACCAACCAACCCTGCAATGTGACCAACCCCGGAATGTGACCAACCAACCCTGCAATGTGACCAACCCCGGAATGTGACCAACCAACCCTGCAATGTGACCAACCAATCCTGCAATGTGACCAACCCTGCAATGTGACCAACCCTGGAATGTGACCAACCAACCCTGCAATGTGACCAACCCCGGAATGTGACCAACCAACCCTGCAATGTGACCAACCCCGGAATGTGACCAACCAACCCTGCAATGTGACCAACACCGGAATGTGACCAACCAACCCTGCAATGTGACCAACCCCGGAATGTGACCAACCAACCCTGCAATGTGACCAACCCCGGAATGTGACCAACCAACCCTGCAATGTGACCAACCCCGGAATGTGACCAACCAACCCTGCAATGTGACCAACCAATCCTGCAATGTGACCAACCCTGCAATGTGACCAACCCTGGAATGTGACCAACCAACCCTGCAATGTGACCAACCCCGGAATGTGACCAACCAACCCTGCAATGTGACCAACCCCGGAATGTGACCAACCAACCCTGCAATGTGACCAACCCCGGAATGTGACCAACCAACCCTGCAATGTGACCAACCCCGGAATGTGACCAACCAACCCTGCAATGTGACCAACCCCGGAATGTGACCAACCAACCCTGCAATGTGACCAACCCCGGAATGTGACCAACCAACCCTGCAATGTGACCAACCCCGGAATGTGACCAACCAACCCTGCAATGTGACCAACCCTGTAATGTGACCAACCCTGCAATGTGACCAACCAACCCTGCAATGTGACCAACCCCGGAATGTGACCAACCAACCCTGCAATGTGACCAACCCCGGAATGTGACCAACCAACCCTGCAATGTGACCAACCAATCCTGCAATGTGACCAACCAACCCTGCAATGTGACCAACCCCGGAATGTGACCAACCAACCCTGCAATGTGACCAACCCCGGAATGTGACCAACCAACCCTGCAATGTGACCAACCAATCCTGCAATGTGACCAACCAACCCTGCAATGTGACCAACCCCGGAATGTGACCAACCAACCCTGCAATGTGACCAACCCCGGAATGTGACCAACCAACCCTGCAATGTGACCAACCAATCCTGCAATGTGACCAACCCTGCAATGTGACCAACCCTGGAATGTGACCAACCAACCCTGCAATGTGACCAACCCCGGAATGTGACCAACCAACCCTGCAATGTGACCAACCCCGGAATGTGACCAACCAACCCTGCAATGTGACCAACACCGGAATGTGACCAACCAACCCTGCAATGTGACCAACCCCGGAATGTGACCAACCAACCCTGCAATGTGACCAACCCCGGAATGTGACCAACCAACCCTGCAATGTGACCAACCCCGGAATGTGACCAACCAACCCTGCAATGTGACCAACCCCGGAATGTGACCAACCAACCCTGCAATGTGACCAACCAATCCTGCAATGTGACCAACCAACCCTGCAATGTGACCAACCCCGGAATGTGACCAACCAACCCTGCAATGTGACCAACCAATCCTGCAATGTGACCAACCCTGCAATGTGACCAACCCTGGAATGTGACCAACCAACCCTGCAATGTGACCAACCCCGGAATGTGACCAACCAACCCTGCAATGTGACCAACCCCGGAATGTGACCAACCAACCCTGCAATGTGACCAACCCCGGAATGTGACCAACCAACCCTGCAATGTGACCAACCCCGGAATGTGACCAACCAACCCTGCAATGTGACCAACCCCGGAATGTGACCAACCAACCCTGCAATGTGACCAACCAATCCTGCAATGTGACCAACCAACCCTGCAATGTGACCAACCCCGGAATGTGACCAACCAACCCTGCAATGTGACCAACCAATCCTGCAATGTGACCAACCCTGCAATGTGACCAACCCTGGAATGTGACCAACCAACCCTGCAATGTGACCAACCCCGGAATGTGACCAACCAACCCTGCAATGTGACCAACCCCGGAATGTGACCAACCAACCCTGCAATGTGACCAACCCCGGAATGTGACCAACCAACCCTGCAATGTGACCAACCCCGGAATGTGACCAACCAACCCTGCAATGTGACCAACCCCGGAATGTGACCAACCAACCCTGCAATGTGACCAACCCCGGAATGTGACCAACCAACCCTGCAATGTGACCAACCCCGGAATGTGACCAACCAACCCTGCAATGTGACCAACCCCGGAATGTGACC